TTAACTTCGACATTAGGGCTTTGACAGCAAGGCTTCTTCTTTGCATGACACGTGTTAAAATGGGACACGTCAATAGCTAAGTCATCGAAAATCAACAGCGGTTGACAAAACTTGTACCATTGTCTGACATTCAGGTCCATCCGATCAAATTCAATGGATATGAGATGATGACAATCTATGGCCAAGAATTCAATTGGTAGGTTAGATAACCAATTCGCTAGCTCACTACTATGATCCCCTATAGGGCCAATCCTGAGATTTAGGGCCCAAGGTGACTTTTGAAAATGAGACTCTCTTATATTAAAAAAAAAAATTCATGAATAAAACGATAAGTTATAACTTTTTTATTTATTTGTAGTCATAAAAAAATTACTTGCATATATAATCATTAAAATTATAAACAAAAATTTACTTTCATATATTAACATAGAAGCAATAATTACAAATACTTAAAAATAAAAATAAAAATCTAGTCTTGTTGCTTTTTTTTGAGCCCTATGTTCAATTAGACTTATAGTATTTGGGTCTTTTTTATTTATTTATTTATTTTTTTTATATCTAAAACATAAAATTATATTTGGAGCTCTTATTTTTAGCTCAAATTTAAAGGCTCAAGGTGCAGGCCTCTCTTGTGCCTTTAGGGCTGGCTCTGATCCCCCAATAGAACAATCTAGAATTAAGCACTACTACTACGTGTTACATAGTTAGTAGTATTAAAAATGGAAATATATGGTCCGTGTCAAAGATATACTGAAGTCGATAATTGCATGAATGCGTGTAAGAATGTGTTGATATCTCTATTGCAATGAAAAAGCTCTAAGGGAGTTGCGTAAGACCCCACCAACAAGAAAAACAAACTCTATTCATATGGGATGAATTTCCTAGTTTGATCTAAAGTGCAAATTAAACTGGGAAAAGTCTACCTTTAAATACACAAATGATGTAATGATGACAGTTTTAAAATTAAAAACGGTATGTTTTGGTGACTGCTAGACTGCCTTGATAACCAGCTTCACCGTGAAGGCGTTTTTAAATTGTTATTCATTTTTGTCAATGAAAAAATTACATAAATAAAATCTTCATGAGTGTTTGTTTGAAAGCAAACTATTGATGATGTAATTAAAAGAAGTTATTATGTTAATAAAAGTAGTCATAGTCTCTAACCTAAGTTAAATTTTAGATGAGTTGATGGTTAATCACTACACTGATACTCAATACATCTTGTATTTGAATTTTACTACCTATTTGATAATTAAAATATTTAGAGATGTTGTTTAAAAGGGCATGGTGAGATTTCTATGTACACTTTCTCAAAAAAAAATTTCTTTAAATTTTTTTTATACCCCCTTTAACTTACATTATAGTTACACCACTAAAGCATATCATTCATTCTCTAAATTAACAACCACATGACACACAAACTCAAAATTTATCATTTTTGGCATGATATGATTAAGAAAGGGAGTGTTGACAACTTGACATATAGTAGCCACCTGCCATAAAATAAAAAAAAAATAAAAAAGAAAAAGAAAAAAAAATCCGATTATTTTCTTTTGGACTGTATCATCCCAAAAAATGAAAGGAGAGAAGCAGCAATTGTAATAAAAAATTGCTACCAACAAAGATATGCTATTCTTGTGCTACAAACAAAACTATGTTTCAGTTACACAGTACCAGGAACACTACTTTTCAAACCACAACTCTGAATCTCAAGTTTGAGGGAAAACTGGAGGAGAAAACCCGTACGGAACATTTGGTAAGAGATTTGGGTAAATTATATTCATGATCTTTGTAATTTGTCTCTTATATCAATTTAGTCTAGATGAATAGTTTGGATTGTATCAATTTTTTCTTTTAATTTTTTTACATTATGTCAATTTAGTTTTAATTTGATAACATTTGTTAAGAAATTAGAGAAAATCAAAGGCAAAATAGTCCATTAAAAAATGAATAAATCACTTCAAATTATACATTAAATCTTTGATCACATTGAAAAGAGTGAACGGATTATTTTTTCTAGTTGATTTTAGTCTAATTTCTAAAAAGATTTAATCAATTAGATTAAGTTGCATAAGAGGCAAATTACAAGAATTATGAGTGATTATGAGTGTAATTTTCAATAAATTAACATAACAATATATATATATATATATATATGTTTTTTTCCTAAAAAACAAGAAGATATTTTGTAATAGATTTGTAATGTTACTTGAATATTGATGATGATAATTGGGTTTTTGGAAGTTGTTATTACCCGCTGCTCTTTGATGGGAAGCAACTCATATATTTCTCATTTACTTAGGGAAGCATAAACTGATTGAAATATATATATATATATATATATTTTTTTTTTGTTTTTTGCCCATGAGAAACAAAACCATCTTTAGAAGATAGTCGTGTTCAACAAATGCACCAAAAAGTGTTTGAAGTAAATTTAAACGGTCATCACTATAAAAAAAAATTAAAGTTTTAGAAACTAAAATTTAGGAACAAAATTATTTTTTAAGAATTAAATAATTTTATTGCGAAAAGTATCGTTATTATATTTTTAGTAACAAAAATTAGACATTAGCGATGAATTATCATCCTTTTGGGACTAAATTTTTGTCTCAAAAAATAAATCATTTTGAGACCAAATTATTTTGTCCTTAAAATTTTATTTATTAGTGACATTTTTAAAATTGTCGCTAAATGCCTTGTTTTTGACTTTTGGAGACGACCCTTTAGCGACTATCTTCATGACAATGAAAATTGATCCTTAAATGTCTTTTACAACAAAATTCTCACTTTTAGAGACCAAAATATTTGGTCTCTAGAACTCTTATATGTTGTAGTGCGTGATACATCCCTCTAAAAAGGGAGTACTAAATTAGCTCTAATGAGCTGAAAATTCTAAAAAATAAAAAAAAAAAGATAAAAAAGAAAAGGTAGACACAACCATCACATCATAGGGAGGCCAGCTCATTAGAGCTCCCCTAGCGCTCCATATTTCACTACAAGAAATGTCACTTTTGGCTACTAAAATATTGGTCGCCAAAAGTCCAATATTTAGTCGCTGAAACGATTTAGCGACTAAAATATTTTGTCGCCAAACTCGTCGCCTATACCCTGTCGGCGATAGTATTGGCGACTAAACTTTGTTTGGTCGCCGAAAGTGAGTACATTTCGCTACTAAATTTAGTTTAGCCGGCAAATGTTATGTTTTCGCCACTAAAACCTTAGTCGCTGAATGAGGCTTTTTGGCTACTAAGTTGTTGTGGTCAGGGAAGGTGTCACCTTTAGCTACTAAATAATTAGTCACCGAAAGTACACATTTGGCTACAAAACTGTATTTAGTCGGCAAAAGGTGCATTCGGCGACTAAAGTGTTAGTCACTAAAAGTGCATTGAGTTATGTTTTTGCTACTAAATTCTTAGTCACCAAAACATTTGATTATGTATTTAGTTACCAAAATATTTGGTGGCCAAATACTTTAACGTGTTTTTTTTTTTAAATTTTTTTTTCTAAACAACCTGTATCCATTATTAATACAACCTGTACCCTGTATAAACAATATAATCCATCAACACTAAATATGTTATTAAGCATTCAACAACGTGCACATATTTTAGTTCCAACCATCCAAAAATATAATATTGAATGTCTAATTATATATATATTACAAATTCCATAAGAACCAAGTCTAATCCAACGTCAATAATTTAATTTCATACATAATACAGGAATAACCAACTACTCCCACTACACATTTTAGTTCCAACCATCAAAAAATAAGTACTAATAAGTACAAGATGTCGTCCTGGCATCACTATAAGCTCCCATTGTTCGAGTCCTTTCATAAAATCCTTCGATTGGAAGGGGCCAACTACTCCCACTCGTCTATCCCCTTCGTCCACTGCTGCTGGCAGCTGCAGAACCATTGCATGAATGTGAAATCAAGTTCATGTCTAATAAAAATATAGAAATACATATTCATAGTGTCCTCAGATAAAACATATTCATTCACCATGTTGTTTTCCCAAGTCAAATACATATTCAATCACAAAGCCAAGTTTTGACAGATTAAAATGTTTCAAGACGAATGCTAGGAAGTGATAATTGTCAAAACAATAAAAGAAGCTCCTCTGGATAAATAATTTAATTTTAAGCTTATCAAATGAATAAACATCAATTCAATATTTGAATCTCTATAGAATAGATGCAACAAAAACGAGACGGATATCCAGCATGTGGAACCCGATTTATCAAAGAAAACTGACATATAGAAGTAAAAATCTCTAATTTAAGTAATAAATTAGAGATATGATGTGACCATTGTTGTCAAAATGCGAATCCCACAATTGTTCTTCAGGAACCACATTTGTTACACCTCCAACCTCATTTTCAACATGGGCAATAGCAACCTCAGAATTTTCTTCATTAATGCCTGTTACAAAACCCAAACCTTGGGAAGTTTGATTCCAAGTTTCAGACAAAGATGACCCTGTGCATTGGTGCTTTGTGTTTATGTCAGACCTGTAAGTTTCAATGTCAGATTTCTTGCCACTTAACTACCGCTGTACACGAGTCTCTGTTTGCCTAGCTGAGCCCAAGTTTACAGAGGATGATGCAGAGGCACTACCCTGTCCAAGGGAACTTCTCATGCTTTGTGCCCCATCTCTTACATAGGACAGATCATCATAAGAAATACTAGAGGTAGTGAAAGCCACATATTTGTAGCTTAAGTTATTCAAAAGTAATTTTATTATGTATGTGAACTAAACTACAGTTGCATAAAACAAGAAGAACTAATGATTGCATTGATGCTTTATGCATGTCCATGCCTTTACATGGCACTGTCAAAGCAACTAGTAAAGGTTTGAATAACCTTCCTTGCTCAACCTAGAATGCAACCAGAGAAAGAGAAGTCTGACATGATTTTTAATTAATTTGCAACCTACCTGATGGAAATTTATGGTGCAGGTTACATTTGTTTGTGGAAGCAGACGCAAGTACTGTACTTCACCTAACTCCAAATGTCTTACAATGGTCAGCATCACCTGCCACAGTAAAAAACCAGCAGTTCAAGTCTTACGATGCATGTAGATATGACAAAGTGAACTCAAATGGAAAATGCTTTATCATCATTCTAGTATTTCTACCAAGAGGAAGACACCAGGATACAAATCTAAAAGTAATAAGCAGTTACTGATGAAAATGAACGAAGCTTCACAATATTTTCTATGTCCTTAAAATTAACAAAAACCTCATGGAAGGTCAATGTAATTTACCCCATTTTTTTTCTTCAAAAAATAAAGAATTATCAGGAAATTTGAATTTGCATTAAGTATTAGAAATAGAATGCAGAAAGAACCTCTTTTTTCATATCAAATTTACGCGATGCAGGCTCTTTGACTAAAGAGCAAATTTTCCCATGTGAATCCAATTCATTAGTAAAAACTTCAGAGAGGAATCTGCTGACTGCATATTCATCTACACCATCACTGTGAAGCACAATATTTTTGGTTAATTTCAGATCTTGAAAACCATAAATCAAAGCTAAACAGAATATGAAATGCATTGAATCACCTGTATGTTAGACTACGAAGCTTAAAATATGTGTTATCATAAAAAATGAGATGGCAATGAGATAATCTACCATCGCGTCCAGCACGTCCAATCTCCTACAGAAAAGCATGATTTGTTTTGTTCAAAAAAATTTTACATGAACATTATCTTCCAAAGAACCAATGGTTAAGAAACAAATACCCACCTGAACATACTCTTCCAAGCTTTCTGGTAAAGAGTAATGGGCAACCTGAGATAGAAGCATTTAGAAAGCTTCAGTACAATTTCTACAATGCAGTGCCATGCTAGATGTGAGTATATGTAACAACAAGATATCTCATAACAAATAATGTTGCTTAGTTCTGCTTTTACACGAAAGCATTATAAAAATTCATAACAAGATATCAACATGATTCATGTGATATGATTACCCTGTTGTTGGTAGAGAAACCTGACTGTCCAACTTTTTAATAACTACAACTTTTGAGCATCAATTAATTATGTTGGGGGGGGGTGCAGAAAAATAAAATGAGTATTTTAAGGTCATTGTTCTTACAGCTCTAACATCACTCTTGTCAAGCCCCATGCCAAATGCCACAGTTGCAACAACCTTCCAGAAAATAATTCAAGTACATGAATTAGCCATATGTCATGACATCTTACTACATAATTGTAGACACCCTATTTTTGACCGTCCTTAAGACTTGGACGTCATCGTTTGAACACGCGATGATTATCCATGCTTGTGTTTGTTTTGAGTTTTGAAAAGTCTTGGCTACGCGCCTTGCCTTAGAATCTCTTAACTTCTCTGTTTTGTGCTTGGTTGCACCAAGAGCTTGTGGATGTGTTCCTGAGGGAAGGGGGTAGCCTGTCGACCATGTCTCCTGCCCACCGGCCACCTTGATTTTCAATCGGCCAAATATGATGGCCGGTCGGCCAATTTGATTGCCGGTCGACCACTTTGATAGCCGGCCGGCCAAGTGTGGTTTTCAACAGATATCTCTGTAGACAGCTGGTAGCTGTCATTCTAGGCCATACCCCAGCCCATGCCTGGACGTGGGAGTTTTGAGGAGCTGCAGATTGATATATTTCTATATCAATCAAGCTCTCTTACAACAACAAAAAAAGAAGAAGAGATATACAACTTTGAGCAAAAAAAAAATCTCTTTCTCTCTCTCTACATTTTCAGTCTCTCTCTAAGGTTTAGGGCTTGTGTTGTGCTCAAAAGTGCATTTTCTTTGCACTTTTGCATACAAACACCTAGTTCTCTACTCCCTTTATTGAGCTGAGGTCCTTGGAGGTGATTTTTGGGGTGATTTGAAGCCTTTTTTTGGTCCAAAAGTTGCTGATTTGCTGCTGTGCTGCTGTGCTTCAAGGGTGAGCTTTTACCTCTTTTAAGCCTTGTTTTCATAGCTTGTTTTGCCATATTTGCAACTATTTTTGAGCTTAACATATAACATAGAAAAATCTTGTTTTTATCTGCCCTAAATAGTTTCTTAAGGGTGTTTTAAGCTTTGGGGTTGTTTGACCCCTCTTAAGGCATGTTTGGCCCTTGTTTTGTGCCATTTCGGTTGAGCTCCGGGACCATTGTGTTTGGGCCTCCTCACCACTGAAATCTTGAGGGATTTTAGTGATGAGGATGGTGTCTTGAGGTCCTAAGAAGGAGAGGGCCACCCCCTCTCCTTGTTGTCCTTGAAAAGGGCCATTTTTGCCTCTTGAGGGAGCATCTTGTTTAAGTGTATGTTGGCCATGCTTTAACTGATTTTTGTGCTTATTATGCTATAATATAGCTCTGTTTTTAGTTAGTTTGGACATACCTTGCATGCCTTGCATACATGTCTTGTAATGCCACATTTTTGCCTCAACATGCTTTAGGTGTAGACCCTTGTTCTAGCATGATTTAGGCTTAGCTTTGTGAAGCTTACATGCATATTTTGATGTGCTAAGGGACTGTTTTAGGTCATTTGATTCATTCATGTCTTGCTTTGTATAGCTACCATGCAATCCCTCTTGAATGCCTTAAGCTTTGGCCTCTCTAGCATGCATTACTTGCATTGTTTTAGTGGTTTGAAACCACTTACCATGTTATTTTAGTCCTTATAACATGCTTGTATGCTTGCCTTTGATGTCTCTTTGATGCCTTATGAGATTGTGCCTTGTGCTCCATGTTTGGTCATTGTGCATGCCCTTGAATTTAAGTCATTTAGATGCCATCTAAGTGGTCTTTAGGCTTTGTTTTAATATGTTAAAACTCTGTTTTGATCATTTAATTCATGCCATGTTTGGTTATGCTAAGGGTAGTTCAATACCTCCTTAGCTTGCCTTAAGTACTTGGACCATTATTGCATGCTTTGCTTGTTTTGATTACTTGGTTTGGCACCTCTCTTTCATGCAATTTCAGAGCTTATGATACATGCCATATGCCCATGTTTGTCTTCCTTTAAGTGTGCTTAAAGGTTGCTTATTTGATGTTCAAGTGTTAGCCCATTTGCTTGCATGTGTGTGTGTGTATTGGTTATCATTTCCATAGCATTGGCCACTGTTTTAGGCTTGTTTAAGGGCTGCCTAATTTAGTTTAAGTCCACCCTTTGGTATGTTGTTGCATGCTTAGCTTATGACATGTTATTGCATGTTGAAATAATGTTGCATTTGACACGTATTCTCCTTATTGTTTTGGTTGCTTAACATGCCATATGTTTTGCATGCTTGTGTGTTGACATTGTGCCTTGTATGCTCATTTAACTTGCATGCTTGTTATATGCCTTGCATGCTTCCCATATGCTCATGTTGCATGCCTAGTTAACATACTTAGGTTGCATCGCATTTGCATGCATCTTTCACCTCTTGATCAAGCCATGATAGGGGTTGAAAGCCTCTTTGTTTGCTTATTTGCATTGCAGTTCATTTAAAACCAAAGTGCATACTTGGTTTCTTGGGCCATTATGCATTGAAATGCGCGATTGATGGTCCGAGAATCGAGAATCGTGTCCCTTTGAGTCATAAACATGATAGGGGATATGTTGGTGCATACATTTGCTTGAAATACATTGCCATGTCTTGCCTACTCTCTGCTGTTGTCGAACAGGTTTCTGCAGGAAGTTTTGGCCGGCTGGCCATATATACTGTCGACCGACCAAATATATTTGGCCGAGAGCTCAATGGATGGTCGATGACCACTTCAAAAAGGCCGGTGATGATCCCACTCAGCCGGTGGTGTTCCACAATATTCAGAGAAGCAACCTTGGGAGTTGTGCAATTTTCAGAGAAGCAGAACAGTCAAAACAGAGGCAAACTTGTGCATGGCGTTGGATTTCCGAGCAAACCCGAGCACGCGCGCATTGGATCCTCTTCCCGAGGCCTTTACTGCTTTCTTAGCTTAGTTAATTTGCTTAATTAATTTGTATTATTCTTTTGGTCCCTCCGAGCGAGGGTGAATTTGTAATAAGCGTGGGTGCGTGTGTGCATGTCCTCCAACCCCTACTTCTTTCTCCCTTTTACTTACCTGCTTTGATGGTTAGTATTAGGACATATTTACTTTAGCATACCTTATGCTATGCATGCGTGCATCATTCATTAGTCTTGCATGCATCAGGCTCGGCGCATCATACTAACTGCGTAAGTATTTCAAATCTAACTTGAATACATGCTACTTGTGCATTTTCACATGTCATTTATAGACTAGCCGAGCCTACTCTAGTGACATTCCGTATGCGTTGTATTAGCCATTTTAACATGAGCTAGGATCATGCATTGATTACTAACTAGTTTTTGTTTTGGCTCGGAGTACTAGGTAAGCATTTATGCTTTAGCATACCGCATGCGTGTAAGTGTTGCCACAATAGCATGATTACCATGAGGCTAGCTGCTTATGTGATATAACTGCTTAAATGCCTGTGGATGGAGGTTGAATTAACTAAATTGGGATAATGCATTAAAACTGTGAGTTTTAAGCCCACTTGATAGTGGCAAAACCATCTTTTTTAAAGCCCACTTGAGGGTGGCAAAGCCTGCATTTCACCCTACTTGCGAGTAGCAAACCATTTTCAAAACAAGTATGAAATGTTTTGTTCCAATTTAGGCAATTTGGTCTATACTTGTTTGCTGTGCGCATAACATAGTAGTTTTAGGTTAATAACCAGAATAAGAACACATAACATTTTCAAAAACGGATATCACGGTTAGTAGAGACCGATCTTCTGATCGGGCGAGAGGGGGTGCTCATAGCTGACCTTCCCCAATCGTACCCAAGCTCCCGAGCCGAGGCAATTTTGGTGATGACGGACACGTGGCCTTTGGCACCGAGTCAGGGTTTCCTAAATTCCCCCATAAAAAATATTTAGGTGGCGACTTTGTATTTGGCAAAGCAGTCCATGTTTGGCACTTCTTTTCTCAAAATTTGTTTTCTCAAAACGATTTGTCAGATTTGGACTCTTTGGTTCAGATTAAGAACCGTGACAATTTGAGAGTCCGAACTGTAGCGAGCCCTATATGAACAGAACGGGGGCGACTCGTCCTCCCGGGGCATTCGAGGACGTATACAATAATTAGAAATGAAAATAAGTTTCAAAACCAAAGTGAACCAGAACAATTTTTACCATTCTTATCTTGTTGGAACAAAATGATTCCTGAATACGACTTCGATCCTTTGAGGGTATACGACTGTGGTAACTCTTTATTTATTATTATTATTATTTTTTTGACAAGTTCAAATAAGTTACAGTAAAGAATAAAAATAGTTTCATATGTAAGAAACCATGTATGATTCAACTGAATCAAGAAAGTATATGAGAGGCTAACCATTGCTTGAATATTTGCTTATCAAATTAGTTTCATACTGCAAAATAAATAATTCAATCAAAAGCCAGGCAGTCAAAATTGCAATGTAAATAAGTATAAAAATTCATCCAATTGAATTCTGTATTGTCAAAAAAATCATTTTAAGCAAAGGATTTAACTATTTAAGGCCATGGTATACACTATATGGAAAGAACAACTCATGGGGTTACCTGAAATTTGCAGTATATAATAATGCTTTGAACTTCCGCAAAGGGGGAAGACTTGATTAACATCATCAGATCCTCCATCTGTTTGGTAAAGATAGTTAAACATGAGATGAGAAGCAACAACCATTCAGTATAGAGAGTCGAGAGTCTTACTTGCCAAACTTCAATGCCTACATATTTTATTGGCTTCAACACATAAAGGATTTGGGAAACTTTAACAGTAATGAGACACTGCATTAGCTTGGGAATTCAGATCATCAAAACAAGCATACCCAGAATAATTTTGTTTTTTAAATCAAGAAAATTAACAGATGGGTACCTGAGAATTCAGAAGTCGATCCACCAATCCCCTAATCTAACAAGAAAACACAAGAAAAAGGAAAGGGCTCAGGTTTGTAAAAGCAATTTGGGTTTAATAGAAGAATGAATTGGATTTAACAGGGCGTGCTCCAATGGTTGAGAGCGAGAGGGAGGAAGGGGAAGAAGAAGGGGAAATACCAGGGTGTGCTCCAATGGTTGCTGCAAGCGAGAAATAGAGAGAAAAAGCGCTGCTCTTGAGGAGATGGGTTGTACCGTTGCCGGTGAGGAGGTGGTCGTACCGTCACCGGTGAGGAGGTGGTCGTATCGTCGCGGGTGAGGAGGTGGGTGCTCGTGTGCGACAGTGGTGGCCGGTAGGAGGGTTGCCTGCGATGGAGTGAGAGAGAGAGAGAGAGAGAGAGAGAGAGAGAGAGAGAGAGAAGATCGATGATGAGAGAGTGAAATAGGAGAGGGTTGCGTAGGGGTAATTAAGGACAAATGCCGACTAAATTTTATTTCAGTAGCCAAAACGATAACCAACAGTGACCAAATGTTATTTTAGTCGCTGAAAGTAATAATTTAGCGACTAAACATTTTAGTCTGTAATTAATTTCATAAATCCCACCAAAATTGAAATTTTCCCTCAAAATATTTTAGTTCTTTGGCGACTAAAATATTTTTCGTCGCTGAAAATAAACTATTGGCGACTAAAATTTTAGTTGCCAAAGGTAAATAATATATTTTTATTTTCCAATCGCCGACTAAAGCGTTTTAGTAGCCAAATCTGTACCTACGGCGACCAAAATTGTTTTTCGTCGCTGAAATAAACTATCGCCAAAAGATAAAAAACAAATTTTTAAAATTCTTTTGGCTACTAAACAATTTAGTAGCTAAAAGTAGCCCTATGGCTACTAAAATTTTTTTTAGTCGCCAATTGTGATATGTTTAGCTACTAAAAATTTTTGTAGTCGCTAATTGTAATATTTTTAGCTACTAAATTTTTTTTAGTCGCCAATAATCAACATTCCCCTACTAAAAAACACTAGTAGCTAAAAAGTTGACTTTTGCCGACTAATATTATTTTTGGTAGCCAATTCTGACACTTTTGGGGACTAAATTTTTTTTGGTAGCCAAAAACTCCCAAATATTTTTGAAATTTAAATTTGGGCTGGTTTGATAATTGACTTTTTTTAAGTAAGTTCTTAAATTTTTATGGAAAGACATGAAAAAAAATAGAAAATGATTTGACAATTTATAATAAATTTTTAACTAAAAATCTTTTTCTCCAAACAAGGCCTTAGGGTGATATAGGTGGTTTTTATACTAATAAAATTTGGTACCGACCTCACTATTTATTTTTTTATTTTTTATTTTTTTTAAAAGCAAGATTCTCCCTTGTCTAACATGTGGGCTGGATTGTGTTATTCAGATGCATACGGCCATGTATCCTATTTTTGATGGTATAATTTGTTTATTTTATAAGTTACTGTATATGTATTATCCATAAAAGGTCATATTGATTTCAATAATTATAATTAAATTATTTTATTATATTTGTTTTAAAAAAAATAGATGATAACTAAAATTTAAAAATAACACCGTTTAATTTTTTTAAAGAGAAATGTGATGAACCTCAGGGGATTTGGCTTAGTGGGAGGAGAAGGCAACTAAAGGATAACAGAGGTCAAAGGTTCAAATCTTACGAAAGCCAATCATCCCAAATCTTGAGACCATTAGAGGTTTGCCGGTCGTTCACTTTAAGGTTCCGAGATTAGTCAAGATGTGCATAAGTTAGTCCGAACATCTAGATATTAACAAAAAAAAAAAAAAAAAAAGTAAAGGGAAAAAAAGAGTAATGAAATCATCTGGTTACGATTATCAAATCAATATAATTTTTATATAATTGATACACACACAAAAACTTACAAAATGAATAAATTAGATTATCAAACATACATATTGAGACAACACCAATCCCATTCCTCTTTTAATTTTTAATTTCCAAGTTGAAAGTTTTTAACATAGGAAGGCTAGTCTCCGGTTCATAAAATTGGACGGTCCAATTTTAACTTGTGGGCTAGTTCCACTGATTTGATTTGTTTATTTTATAATTTTTGTGTGTATTAAATAAATTAAATTAATTTAACAATTTTAATTATATGATTTATCATATTTATCTTAATAAAAGACCAAAGAATTTGCCTTTGCAAGAAAAGTATGATAAAATTATATGTAATTACACTTATTAAATCAATCTAATTTCTTATTTTTATATAATAAATAATTTACACACAAAACTTAAAAATTAACGAATAAGATCATCAAACCGCAACCCAACCCACCTTCAACATATTTTAATGATGATCATCATCAATCATTTACCCATGGAATTTCATCGAAATGGTTCTTCCCATTTCTTTATTTCAGAAAAAAAATAAAATAAAAATGTAGCATCAAGTACAAGTTTTTCTTTTTGAAATTTTCTGGGTAACCAATCGTATAGCAAACAAAATCATCGTTCATCAGACTATCCATCCCACAAATTTGAAATGCATAACCAGCTGGAGTACTCACAATAATGATGATGGTGATGAATATTGTTTTATAATGGAGAGAGAGATGTAGTGTGGGTTTTCCTCAGATCGAACGGTTGAGGTGGTTAGATCAAAACAAAGACCCATGATGATCAAGAACCACAGAAGATCATATACAAGTAGTAGTGTAATAAGGACACGTAAACGTGGTGATGACGAAATAGGTGATGGAATGGTGGAGTAAGAGTGCAATCAGGGGGAGAGTGGGATTGTGTAGGAAAATGGGAAGAAAATTTTTGGGATGCTTAGATGTAGCTTTGTCGTTGGGTCACCCAAACAAATTCACTTTCACCACCTTGTGGAGTTGATAACACCATAACAGGAGATTGTAGTTCATCTGTACCTGTCACTAACCAATGGGTGGGCCATGGAATCACACTCTCCACTCTCTCTCTCCACATTTTTAATCCAAAAAATATGAAATTTGTGTTGTTTTGCTTCTCAATATTTAAATTATATCAATTTAGTTTCTAACAAAATGTGATAAAAATGTTTAAATTTGATTCCAACCAACAAAAATTGTTAAAATAAGAGGTAAATGTGTAATTTTCAGAGATTAAGATGATATAGATCGCATATATATATATATATATATATTTGAAAAATGATATACAAGTTCACAATTTAAACTCATTTCAAGATTTAGTGATGTGCAAAAGAAATAATTGGCTAATAATTAAAAACAACATGAGAGAGAGAGTTACTTTAAATATTTTAATAGATGACCACATCGCTCAATTTGAAAAGTTAGACTTTTTTAATTACTTAATTTTTTAAGTGAGTTTCTACCATATAACATATTTTAGAACTAAAAGTGTAATTTTTTAAAAATAAATTTCCATATTTACTTTAAACTTTAACCACATCTACTAACTGAGTTAAATTAGACAATCAAATTAAAATATTTTTAAATATTAAAAATAAAATTAATACAATTTAAATATTAAAGGTGAAAATGACACAAATAATATTTTGGACACTGAAAATGTAATTAAGCCCTTTATATATTGCAGGCGGAGAAAGGTGGGAGCATTGCGAAAAGGTTGGTTGGTGGGTATATAAAGGTGGGTGTGGGGCTTTTGTCTTTAGAAATTATAGCATTGGAGGACACAGAGAGAGAGAGAGAGAGAGAGAGTTGTGTTGGTAGTGGTGGTGGTGCTAGTGATGGGAAGACAACCTTGCTGTGATAAGCTAGGGGTGAAGAAGGGGCCGTGGACGGCCGAGGAGGACAAGAAGCTGATCAACTTCATTCTGACTAATGGCCAATGTTGTTGGCGTGCTGTGCCCAAACTTGCCGGACTTCGTCGCTGTGGGAAGAGCTGTAGACTCCGGTGGACCAACTATCTTCGCCCCGACTTGAAGAGAGGTCTTCTCAATGAAGCTGAGGAGCAATTAGTCATTGATCTCCATGCTCGTCTTGGCAATAGGTTCTATCTTTTTCTCTCTCCTGAATTATTTCTTGAGCAGCACGGTTATAATCATCGAAATATTTGATCTCTGAAATTACTGACTCTTTGTTAAAATTTATAAAAGTGTCCGTGATTTCAGTGATTAAATTTTTTAAGATCATCCTACATTCCGTTGTTTGTTAGTGCATCTCATGCGTTAACAATTCGATTATGGTTTTGCATAGCAAAATAATTATTTCACGTTGTGTTTAGATTTTAAAATTTTAAAAGAAAAAAATTAATTCATTAAAAAATTTAATATTTAAACACAACTTAAAATGTATCGTATATGGTGTGATATTTCTGCTTAACATGTTTTATGCCGAAGTCATTGAAACATGAAATATGCTAGTTTCTGTTCATTGTCTCATTTTTAAACCAAAATATTTGTCAATATTTGTATAAATTTTGTGTCTATCTTGATAAATTTTTTGTTACAATATATAATTATATGTTTTGACAACACAATTAACTAATGCAAGGTCAAACATCTTGTCAGTTCATTAATGACGGGTTTGGTTGCTAAGGCATTGGATTCTATCTCCTGTTTCTAATGCATTTTCATACTCATAATTTTATCTTGAAATTTTTATGTTTTAAAATTCACATCGTATCATATTATTGAAAATACATTAAATCCAGGGGCCGGTAGCTTAAATGAAAGCTAATAAAGTAACATTTTTTAAACTAGCTTCAAGTTTAGCTTAATGCCACTCATCATTGTTTATTGATTCAAACCGAATAGTATAGAGGCTTGTTGGAATGGCGCTCTCAACAAATGTATTCTTTAAATAATTCAGTCAAGCAAATTCTTAGCTTAAGATTCAAGGGTTGAATTTATCTTTGCAATCAACCATAATATTATAATATACTAAGTGCATCATTAGCAATAAATAAATAAATAAATTTCTTGTGCTAATGGGTTGGCTATATAATTCTAATATGTTCTTTGTTATTTTATCAGGTGGTCCAAAATTGCAGCAAGATTGCCTGGAAGGACTGATAATGAAATCAAGAATCACTGGAACACCCACATCAAGAAAAAGCTTCTCAAGATGGGAATTGATCCTGTCACCCATGAACCCCTCAACGAAGAATCGAAGCCAACCGAAGCATCATCAACGTCATCATCATCGCGCGCGGATCATTCGCCAGAATCTAAAAACAATCATTTGCAATCACAGAAAACTGACAATGGAATCCCCAACTCGGAGGAGAACTCATCGTGCTCGCCTCTGACTGAGAACTGTTCAGGCGATGACCCGTTGATGAGTAGTTTCTTGTGGGGGAATGAAAGTATTCCTCTAGTTGATGGATCATGGGAGTTTCCAAGTGATGGACTAAGCTTCAACGACAATAATATTGGGCTGCCATCTTGGGATGAAGATTGTGCGTGGCTATTGGACTGCCAGGACTTTGGTATTCATGATTTTGGTATTGATTGCTTCAGTGATGTTGAAGTCATCAAAACGTTAAACACGTTAGAGATGGGCAATAAGCAATGATTAATGGGAAAGAGGCCTCCCTCGTCCATTAATTGGACTCGAGTGCCCAATTAAGGAGATTGTAGGTTTACTTCACTTTGCACTTATTTCTGAACCCTTCATTTCACTTGATTAGATATCGATATCTATTTAAACAGATATCAGTACTTTGAAATGGGTTCGAGATAGGTCCACCCACAGTCCCCTCAATTGGACACTAGAGCCTAATGAATGGACTAGAGGAGGAAGCCTTATCCTAATTAATATATGAAACCATGGTGGAATGAGAGGAAACAAAAGTATTTAAGCTTTTACTAGTGCGCATGCTACAAAGTATCATGTCTGGCCCAATTTTAGATTCTCAATTTCTTAGTTCTGTTTGATTTTGTCAACAAATGTTACAGAATATCCTTGGTGGGTCGAAATGAAACCTTGTTTGTTATAGAGAGGTTTCTCACCAACCAAATCAAAAGTATATGAAGCCACCAAACTCATCAAATCAATTAAAGGTCATATAGAACTTGGTCTCCTTAGAAAATGTTGTTGTACTCAGTATATGTAAAAGGTAGAGAGGCACATTTGGACCTACGAAAATGTTAGATGGGCCTTGTGAATGTGAAATCTTTTGTATATAAATGTATTTATGTCAAAATCAATAAGAAGAACATATTTGTTTTGTTGTGGTTTTGCAAGTGTGCTAAGTATTATATAGATATTGCAAGGCAACTGTAGGACTCTTTCTTTTGTATAGTTAAATCAAAAGTAAGGATGAAGCAAGTAAATGATACGTGGAAACATGACTCATCCAGTTTATGAGGACAAAAGAGAGAAACTAACTACCTAAAAGCCTTTGACAAAAAATTTAGGCAGCTGATGAATGGTTCATAAAGTGAAAAACCATTCTAATAGTAAGAACAAGATAGATAAACTCTTTGGTAATTAGTCTAAGTAGACCACTCTAGTTTGAGAATTAAGTTGGGCCTACTTCAGAGTGGCCAATTGGGTTATAGTACCAGGCTTCTATTTTCTGTATCTTAGAGTGGGTGAATGATTTTGTCCGTTGGGGAGCTTGGCCCGATTTGGGATGTGCGCTAGTTATTTTGACCCTATTTAATTACTAACTTATTTAAAAGGATAAATTATAAATATACCTCCTAATATTTGTTTAAAGTACAGATTGTCTCCTATGATTTGAAAAATTACAAATTTTCCATTGTTAATTTTTTTTTCTTTAATAGAATTAATTAAAAAAAATAAAATTTATAATTGCTCTCCAATATAATAATGAAATTATCTAAATTATTAATTGAAACATATTTCTAACATCGTTAAAAACTGTTAATTGACTTGATGATTTATTAATAAAAGGGACTATTTGTTATGAAATTAGAAACCTTTGGGGTGGAATGTAATTTTTAAAATTACAGGGAGCGATTCGTATTTTAATTAAATATCAGGGGGAGTATTTATAATTTACCCTATTTAGGATAAAGAGCTTCTAAAATAACTCAAAATAAAAAAATACAACAATTTCATAGCAAGACACTTTATCAATAGGAAACAATTGAAGATAGAAATTCGTAGACAAAATTACAACTAAAACAAAAGTTTTTAAAAATAGTAAAACTGTCGTAAATGAAACCTAAATGAAGGAATTTGCCTGAAATCTACCACGGTCGCCACATAGATGTGAGTTTTAATAAAAATTTTGAGCTGTTTTCAATAGAATACGAATTTTTTGAAGTTAATTCACAAATATTAGACCGAATTTTTATTTACCATTTTGTTAATCTTCAATTCAAGTGTTTCAAATTTTTGAAGTTACTCCATCTACATCACATTGTCACAATGTCGACTGCAAATGATCCACACCCAAAAGTTCTGACAAATATTCAAATCAATGAAGCACGACAATGCCGTTTTGCATCACAATTATATCTAAACATTGTTGGCAACAAATTAAACTATGTTAAACCTCTTGGAAGCCATATGAGAGAGACAGTCTATATAAAAGGGCAGAACATGAATTGCAAAAGTTGCTATCCTGTCTCTTTAATACAACATAAGCATCTGTTTTTCCCCTTGTATGAGCAGCACGACTTCCTTCCTCTTTCCAATCCAGCCGGCAAGATGGTTGACATAAACAAATCTTTTATCTTATTTTCTTACCGCTAAATACGATGGGCATTTATGTATAACACCACTCTTTAGATTTTGACCAATAAAATAAAACTTTATTAATGAAAATTAATGTAGGGATAAAACATTGAGAAAATACATTAATAAAGTAGAGGCAAATGCTTCAAACATAACTTTCCAATCCCAACTAGATTGATACCGAAAAGAAAGTCAAATCATGTGCAAGCACAAGACCTCAGATTGGCGAGACACCAATCAAAACAACAACAAGAACAAGAAAACAAAAGAACCAAAACCAGCAGAAAACCAAAACAAATATCCACCCAAATCGTGAACCAAATTGCAATCAGGGAGAACAAATCCCAAATTTGAACATCCAATCAAAAAAATCGGTTCTTGGAGCAACACATACTCAAGAAATGTATTTTCTTAAACATCAAGGATTATCGATAATTGTCACTATTATATATTATACCATACTTTAAGTACAAAAGTTTTCTGGCTTGAATTATCATTCAAGTATGGCATTATGGGGTGACAAAAGAAGTCACTGTGAAGTGCTTAAGAGTAAAAAACATTCCGAGAATTATGACATTATATTGTGTCCACTTGTTTGTAACACATGACGATGAGAAGATGCTACTCTTAGCTCATTAATTTTAATTTAATTAAGCATAAATACAATATAAGAATAAGGAGACACTCCATGTTTGTCTGTAATGACTAGTCACTTTATCATCATTATATGAGGATCTTCTCAATAAAAAACAAATGTATTCCAGCAGGGTTTTGTCAGAAAATTGCACTTTAACTAATAGTTCCATTAATAATGTCATCTCTTATCCTGATATGCCATTAAACAATACTTCTCAGTGGTGCTAGTTAATCACACTTAAAATTGTTGTACATTTTTTCTTATAAAATTTCAATAAATGAAGCGTGTACAAATCATCTAAGACCATAAAGGTTCGTTTGGAAATTGATTATTTTAGTAATTTTTTTACTTTTTACGAAAATATAACAAAAAATAGAGAGAATAGATTGACTTTTTTTATTGACTTTTGATTTTTTTGACTAATTTAGTTTGTTCTCAAACATAGCCTAAGCCTAAATCGTTTGAAAACCTAATCGTACCTAATTGTTTAAAAAAGATTATTTCAGAGATTTTTTTTTAAAAAAATAGTTTTTTATTTTCTTGAATGGACTTTTATTAAGGATTGTTTGGTTTTGAAAAATATAAAAAAAAAAACAATTTGACTTTTATTAATATATAGATTTGAAAATTTCAAACATATTTGACATGTTAAATGTCAAACGGGAGCTTGTAAAAAAACATATTTTTCTTTATGCCCCCCACAAGTATAGCAAATTTTTTTTTCTTAAAAAAAATTACATATACGCATGAGTGGAGAAAGAAATTTAACTGACATGCCTTTTTTCAATATTTATAATTTGTAAGAGAAAAATAGAGAAATGAAAAACTACATAACACAGCGTTAAGATTCGAATTTAAACTTTGTCCTTTTTAACCCAAGGGGTTGTGGCATTGTGGTAAGGTCTTGGGGTTTAAGCCCCAAGGTCACAAGTTCAATTCCTCCCTTGGACCAATCTCCTGGGCGAAGCACTGTTGGTTAGGAGGTTGGACCTCAAGGATGCCTAATCAGCTACTTGGTGTGGGTTTAATGCTCCCCGCTGTGCGAATCCTGACTTAATCGAAACTTGCCTTGGGAGGTCGGGACAAGCTTTTAGGTTATAGTCTCTTACTCGGAATGGACAACAGGACATCCTGGTGATCTCCTCATGGAGCGCTGCCTTGGACCTGCGGGAGGGTGGGAGGATTTCCCTGTAACAAAATAAAACAAAACAAAAAAAAGAAAAAAAAAAGAAGAAGAAGATTCGAATCTAGGTATGACGTCTAATAAAAATGCATTTCGTTCACTAGATTAACATTGAAAAATACAGAATTGAATATTTTACATTCCTAGGGACTTCCAAAAGCCTAGGGTATGGGGTTGTTTGGAATGTGTTATATAAGTGTATTTTTTGACTTTTTAGTTAAAAAAGTAGAGAAAAAAAAAAGATATATGTTTGAGATAACTTTTTAACTTTTTAAGAAAAAATGTGTAATAAAATATTGTAATGAAATCAAAATGACCATTCTACCCTTGTTGACTTTTTAACTTTTAACTTTTAACTTTTTAACTTTTGGGTAATTGAATTCAAAGGGCCTAAATAATAATTTTGTCCTCTAGGCCTCCCTCACAAGTTTCCCCCAAATAGTATGAACTTTTTGACTTTTTAAATAATTTTTTGATTTTTTAACATTTGTAAGTTATCCAAACTAAGCCTAATGCTTAGTTAAGGGAAGTGTGAAAAAAAACAGGGGAGTGTGATAAAGGAGGAGACCCTACAACAAGATTCTCCATTTGCTGATGATGGTGGCCTCATTTTGGCCCCTTAAAAGATAGATTGATTGCTAAGTGGAATGTTGAATATCAATTGGGTACTTGTGGGTTTATTTGGATTCAATTGGGGGGCCATTACCAAACAAAACCTTATTGTTTCATAAAAACCATGACATCTCTCGTCTGTTGATGCTTCACTTTCCCGTCATTACCATCACAACCTATATATATTTATGTCATATTGTAAATCAAAGAAAAGTTGCATAATTTTTATTTATTTAATTTTTTGTAGTTCTTTTCCTATGTGTGCATACCATTAGAGCTTAAGCTGTTTGGGCTCCATGGTGAGCGAGTATATGTCATATGATGTATGTAGGATAAATAATAACGCTTGCTTTTGTGCTTTAGAGGAGAGGGCAGGCTCTACCCACTTCTACCAAACAACATCATTAGGGGAAAGGGATGCTGAGAGTGCAACCACAAAGTGTGACCACTATTACAAGATATTAAAAAAAAAAAGAGAGTAGAGAAATCTCATGGGTGCTACCTGATTTTTCTAATGAAGTCTTTGGATAGTAGTACCCAAAAAAAAAAAACGAAAAAAAAGAAAGTTCACTCTTTCTTTTATTTTGGGTCTTATTTTTGTTATTATTGTGAGATGGAAGACTTTCAAGTATAGATTAGCACCGCATGAGATAGATGTTGTTAAAAAAAAAAAATTAGTAAGATAAGGGAGCGAATGGGTGGTATAGTTAAGAGATTGTTTGACAATATATTAAATAAGTGCATTTATTTGATTATTTATTATAAGTTGTCATATCATATCTTACTTTTTTGTATATTTTTTTTATAAAAATTCAAAAAATTGCTTAAATAAGTAAATCCCAATAAAATCATTATAAAAATATATAAAAGATGATGGGTGTATAGAGAGAAAAGATGGACCCATCAAACTTCTCTTTTACTCAAAATATATGAGTTATCATTATTATTTTTTAGTGTCTGAGTCTCATAAAAATATATTTATAAATGATATTAGGCCATTCAATAAATGTTTAAATTAAATATAAAAATTAAAATTAATTTAAAAAAAAATTAAAATGCCGGGTTACAACCTTAATCCAAAAATAAATGGACTAAAAA